CTGGTTTATCTGTGTCCTGGTCTCCGGGGGCCTGACTGCGTCCGAAGGGGCAGGTCCCGGAAACGATGAAGACGAGCGCGCAGCCGACGACAGCTCGGGGCTTCGGGCCGCGGAGGCCGCGTCCCTGCCCCCGCGCGACGGGAGGGGACGGGGGAAGGGCGCCTCAGGGGATGCGACGACGGGGATGAGGACGGGGGTCCCCAGAAGAGGGATCGACGAGGAGGTCGAGGGGGAGGAGCGGGGACGACGGGGACGACAGGTCAAGACGGATGCTCTGAGAAGGCGGGGGAGGACGGGGCGCCTTCGGAAGAGACATCGGAGCAAAATGTTCGGAGTTCTGCGCGGACCTCTCGGATCGGCGCTAAACCCCTTCGGATGGCGAGCGGAGCGCGCCAGGGGCGGCGGCGGAAGCGCCGCCAGAGAGGTCCATCGCCAATCCAAGAAATCCGCACGGTGCTCCGAAAGCTTATGCTTATGCAGATTGTTCGTTTTCGAGTCCGGGAGGGCTCCAGAGCGTTCTCGAGGTCGTCAAGGGTCTAACGCGTTCTAGGGGGGGCTCTGGCCAGCCCATGCGGAGCAAGGGGCGGGAAGACTGTTGGCGCGAACACATCGTGTGCATAGTTCGGGGAGACGCTAGACTCGGGTACGGGGAACTCGGGTTGGCCTGACGGGGCCGTCGTAAAAAATGACGATCGTCGAGACCCAATCTGAAATTTGGCGCGAGCTCCCGCTGCAGACATCCCACGAAAAAACTGCACCGTCAAATCCAGAACGCCCTCGCCTAGCAACGTCGGCGGACCCGAGATCCGAAGGACGAGAGGAAAGGGCGATGTGACGAGAGGCCCGGCGCTGAGCCCAGGCTGGCAGCTGCTCCTCCTCCTCCTCCTCCTCCTCCTCCTCCTCCTCCTCCTCCTCCTCCTCCTCCTCCTCCTCCTCCAGACGCGATGGCCGCCGCCGCTCCGCGGGAGCACCCGCGCGCCGCCGCTCCTCGCCGCGCCCGCGCGAGGCGCCAGGCGCGAGGGCTCTCGGTCACGCCCCGCGCGCCCTCGCGCCGCGCCGCGCCGCCCCCCCGGGGAGCGGGCGCGCCGAAGAGGGGGGCCCACGGTGGGGGGGGGGGAGGCCGGCGCAGCAAGGCCCCAGGCACGTGCGCGCGGACTCTCAGAGGGGGGGCACCAGGGGGCGTACGGAAGCAAGAGGGAGAGGATGGAGGAGGAGGAGGAGGAGGAGGAGGAGGAGGAGGAGGAGGAGGAGGAGGACAAGGATAACAAGAATACTAACAATAGTCATACTAGTGATGATGATAAGAATACCAGTGATAAGAGTAACAATAATAACACTAATAATAAGAATAAGGAGAAGAAGGAGAAGAAGCAGAAGAAGAAGAAGAGCACCACCACCACCAACAACAACAAACTTTGTAAGAGTGTTCGCTCCAATCTGCTCACGTGCCAATCAATACGTACATCCCAAACCATCGGTACCCGCCCTCGTCGTCTTCGATCGTACCCTCTTGGGGGTATGTCTTCCTTACCTGCCACGTGCATGTAGTGCAGCCCCTACGTAAAACAAGGGAAGAGAGGACGAGTGGAAGGGGGAGGGATAAGAATGGAGCACGAGACAAATTAGCAGGAGGGGGACAAGGAGCAAATTAACAAGTGGTAGAACCAGGCGGGCAGATCAAATGGGCAGACCCAGCGGGCAGGTCGGGAAGGCGGGCCCAGGCGACCAGGTCGAGCAGGCGGGTTGCTGAAGCGTGAATCCTGCATGAATCGCGAGAAAGTCTCGAGCGGCAGCGCGATTCCCAAGTAAATCGTGAGAGAAGCCCAGGCGGGAGCGTGATCCCTGAGCGCCGAGGGCGAATCGTCTGAATAAATTGCGAGGGAGTCCCACGCGAGAGCGCGATTCAGTGAGTCCGGCGCGAGAGCGCGATTTGGGAATAAGTTGTGAGGTATCAGGCGGGAGCCGCTGTTGTTGTAAACCGGGGGCCAGGGGCCCAGTTTGAGCCTAGTTATATTGCCTGATGAAGAACAGGGTGCGATCCCCGGGTGAAGCATTTCAATTGGAAAACTCAATGGTCACCGGAGGGGGGATCAACAACAATATTCTTCAGTATTGAGGAGTTGAACAACATCAACAACAATAGCTTTAAGACTGCTGCTCGTATCCGATCGCGTGCCACGCAATGCGTATATCCCAAACCCTCGATACCCGCCCTCTTTGTCTTCGACCATACTCCCTCGGGGTCATACCTTCTTTACCTGCCACGCACATTTAGCGCAGCCCCAAAATCTGGGGAAGGGGGGACGGATGGGGGAAGAGAAGTATGGACCACGAGAAAGGGCCTCTCGGAGCAAATCGCGAGGAAGCATCGAGCGGGAGCCCTTGTCATCGCGGCTGCGCCCCCACTAATTTGACTGAGTTGCCAGGAAGTCTCCGGCGGGAGCTCTGTTCCGGAATGCGGGAACCTCTCTGGCCAGGACCTCCCAAAATAAATCGCGAGGGCATATCGAAGAGGAGCCTCGTCGTGGCGGCTGGGCATCCGCGAACTTGATTGAAGTCCGAAGAAGTCCCATGCGAGAGCGCCATTCCTGGGGCCTCTGCGGGCTGGGGCCCCTGCGGGCGCGCTTGGGGCTTCCGTGGGCTGTGCTGGGGAGCCTCAGTGGGCAGCGCTTGGGGCCTCTGTGGGCGCGCTTGGGGGCGTCGGGAGCCTCAGTCGGCAGCGCGACGGGGCCTCTGTGGGCGCGCTTGGGGCCTCTGTGGGCTGGGGTCTCTGTGGGCTGTGTCGGGAGCCTCAGTCGGCAGCGCGACGGGGCCTCTGTGGGCGCGCTTGGGGCATCTGCGGGCTGGGCCCTCTGTGGGCGCGCTTGGGGCCTCTGTGGGCTGCGTCGGGAGCATCAGTGGGCAGCGCTTGGGGCCTCTGTGGGCGCGTTTGGGACCTCTGCGGGCTGGGGCCTATGTGGGCGCCCTTGGGGTCTCTGTGGGCTGTGTCGGGGGGCCTCAGTGGGCAGCGCTTGGGGCCTCTGCGGGCGCGCTTGGGGCAGCTGTGGGCTGGGAGCTCTCTGTGGGCTGCGTCGGGGGCCTCAGTGGACAGCGCTCGGGGGCCTGTGGGCGCGCTTGAAGCCTCTGTGGGCTGGGGCCTCTATGGGCTGCGTCGGGAGACTCAGTCGGGAACCCCCCCGCAACACCTGACACCGACTGCCTCCTGGAGCCAGTGGGCACAGGCTCTTAGGGGCCCCCCACCCTGCAAAAAACCTCGCCCACACCTCCCCGCCACGCCTGACACCGACCTCCTCCTGGAGCCACTGGGCACAACTTCTTAGGGGCCCCCTACCCTACAATAAACCTCGTCGGCACCCCCCCACCACGCCTGACACCGACTGCCTCCTGGAGCCACTGGGCCCTGCAAAAAACCTCGCCAGCACCCCCCGCCGCCACGCCTGACACCGACTGAGGCCTCGAGCCAATGGGCACACGTTCTTAGAGGCTCCCCATCCTGTAAAAAACCTCGCCGGCACCCCCCCACCACGCCTGACACCGACCTGACGCCGACCTCCTCCTGA